AAAAGTCGTATTACGGTCTTTGTATGAAGGTCTCGGGAACGTCAGGACACGTAAGGAATGCACTTTGTTCTTCATGTCCTGACAATACTCTCAGGGGAGCCCATAGTATATTCTCATCTGGTGGCTTCGTGATACAATTCTATAAGCAGAGCCCTTGGAGTAAGAATGTAAAGGAAGTAGCCCAGTGGTTCTCAGCCTTCGTAATGCAATGATCCTATACTACAGTTGCTCACGTTGAGGTGACCCCCACCGATAAGACTATTTTGGTCGCTACTTCATACCGGTAATTTTGCAGTAGTAACCAAAACGTAACAGGATATGTGTTTTCCAGGAGTTTTTAGGCAACGCTCTGGGACAGCTGCTCTCCTGAAAGGCAGGGAGAGGGGAGAGGTGAAGGGAGGGGGGGGGGGGTGGGGGCAGGTCATTCCAGGCTTTTTGGGCCTCGTAGGACTTGTGCTTTTTACCCCAGGGAGGTGGGAGCCATGGAGGGCTGTGGGCAGAGGAGGGGTGGGGCCTTGAACCCCCCCTTCCCCCCCGGATATCAGTGCATCCACACATCTTGGGAGTCTATCTCCCATCCTCTCTCTGAGCCTCTTCTTCCTGGCCTGCTCCCTGGGTCCCTGCGTGGCTCATCTGAGTCCAGGATTGTTTTTCGCACTTTGCAGGTCAGTTGCTTCAGCTCTGAAGGGCCTGTTATGTGTGCCAGACATACCTGGATTACCCTCTTCCTTGTGTCTGCGAGTTCTCAAGGGCCTGGCTCACATCTGAGCCAGGGACAGGTCCGCACCGGAGGCCCTGGCTCCCTTCACAGGGCGCCTTGCCCAGGCTGCAGCATGACTTCCACCCCTGCCCGTCCTCCTGCCACCTGGCCTCTTTCTCCTGGGTGCTGGCAGGGCTTTCTGCCGGTGCCAGATGTGCCTGGCAGCAGGCCAGGCCCATGTCTGCGATTTAGCAGGGGCTGGGGTGGGCAGCTCGGGGAACTGGGAGAGACAGATGGGGGAGAGGCAGGAAGCAACCAGAACAGTTATTCATTCAACAGATATTTATCTATCACCTTGCCAAGGGCTGTTGTAGGCGCCAGGAAAATAGCAGAGAAGAACACAGACAAACCCTGCCCCTTGGGGTGAGCGGAGCTTGGTAAATAGAGGTGTCAGATGATGAGGGCTGGGCAAGGTGGACTGGAATGGAGCAGCCCCCGGGGGACGTGGGGGACCAGATTGGGAGTGGGTTGCAATTCAGGGTGGTCAGGAAAGACTCATTGAGAAGGTGACATTTGAGCAGAGAACTAAAGGAGAGGGGAGCGGACCATGAAGGTATCTGAAAAACAGCACGTGCAAAGGACCTGGGGCAGTACCAGGCCCGGCATGCTGGGGAAACAGCAAGGAGGCTCTTGTGTCTGGGGCAGAGTGAGATGGGGGAGGCAGCGAGGGCAGGTTGTGCAGAGCTGTGTGGGCCACGGTGAGGACTTGGGCTTTTACCACAGTGGGGATGGGAGCCCTGGAGGGCTGTAGGCAGAGATAGGACCTGACTCAGGTGCTCACAGGCGGTCTCTGACTGCTACAGGGAGGACTGACTGTAGCTGGGCAGGAGCTGTGTGGGGGTTGGGGGACCAGGTGACAGATGTGTGGGAGTAGATCTCACACAGTTATGTGGTGAGAAGTAATCAGATTGTGGACGTGTTTGGGGGAGGGGCCAGAGAGCTCTTACTGAGTATCAAGACTTAGGGGGGGGCAAGGACCCAAGACGGGCTGCTTCTGTTGCTGCTCAACCCAGGAGCATCCTCCCCACCCCCCGGTGATGATTCTAGCAGCCTTGATGGCCTTTTGGTCCCCAACAGACCACTTCCCCCTCCCCCTCTTCTCTATTTCCCTCTCCTTGTTTTCCCAGCCTCCTTGCTGTGCATTTAAAATCCCAAGCAGCAGCAGCAGCAGCAGCAGAAGCAGCAGCCAGCCGCTACTCCCACTCCCACTACTCCCCACCGTCTGCCGGCACACAGCTTTCCCCAGGGAGGGCCAGCTAGCAGGCAGGAGGGAGCAGCACTTTTCATGCTGAGTGCATTAAAGTGCCAGTAAATTGCGCATTAACGAGCCAGGGCGAATTGGGGAAGGCTCCCCTGGGCCTCCTGCGGCTGTGAGGCCCAGCTGGGGAATCCATCACTGCTGGCCCCAGGAGGCAGCCGCCCTAAGCTCTGATGGCTCAGAGAGGGGCTTCCACATCCCAGACCCTCCCACCACCACCCTGTTTGCCCAACAGGCAGGGGAGGGACCAGGCTGTTCCAAGAGGCTGCACCTCGCCGCCGCGCCCACCCCCCTCCCCGCCCCGCCCCGCTGCCGCCCTCTTCCACTCCCCATCTCCTCTAACTTTGGGAAATTGGCTTTGCTTTTCTGGGCCTTAGTTTTCTCGCCTGCACAATGGGAATGGCAGGAATGCCTATTAGACACCTGACTGCCATTAGTGCTTATGCTGCGTTTCCTTATTACCTTTCTTTGTGAATCAGAACTATTTCCCCAGTATTTTGGAGTCTGCCCTGGGCCAGACGGCTTTGGGGAGCTGCTGGAGGGGAGTGGGAGCCGTAGGCCAGCAGACAACGGTGCTATCCTAAACGGTAGCCATGGGCACGTGTGGCTATCGGACTTAAACAGGTGGCACCAGTCACATTTCGAGTGCTCAGTAGCCACGTAAAGCTGGCAGCTACCCCATTAGACAGGCCGCTCTAGAACCATTTGCTGGCGCTATGTTTCGTCTGGTACTGGATTAAATATAGCTGCACATGCGCACATTTCCACATGCACTGGCTGGGAGGTTCCAGCCTTGTTTGCTCTTGTCCTCAGCTGGAGGCACGTTCTAGGGACCACTGTCCTTGGTTCTAGGCGCTTGTGCCATCTGGTTCGCAAGCCACTGGCCCCACGTGGCTGCTGAGCACTGGCAATGTGCCTGTTGGAACGGCAGGAATGTCATTTTCAATTGTACGTAGCTCTGTTTAAATAGCCATCCGTGGCTGGTAGCTTCTGTGCAGGGCTGCCCAGTCCTATGGACAGAGAGGTTAAAAACAAACGCAGTACCTGTCAGATCAGTGCCATGGAGAAAAGGGAGTAGGGTATGAGGTAGGGAGGAGCACATGCTAAAAGAAGAGCCCTGGCTGGTTTGGCTCAGTGGATAGAGTGTTGGCCCGAACACTAAAGGTCCCGGGTTTGATTCCGGTCAAAGGCAAGTACCGTGCTTGTAGGTCAGGGCGCATGCGGGAGGCAACCAATTGATGTGTTTCTCTCACATCGATGTTTCTCTTTCTCTATCTCTCCCCCGCCCTCCCACTCTCTCTAAAAATTGACGGAAAAATATCTTCCGGTGAAGATTAACAACAACAAAAAAGAACTGACAGGTAGGCTGGTGGGTAGGTAGAAAAAGGAAACTTAAAGATAGATCATTCTGTCCCTTCCATGTCCATAGAACCTTTTTTTTTTTAAAAAAAAAAAATTTTTTAGAGAGGAAGGAAGAGGGAGAGAGAAAAGAAACATCAATGATGAGAGAGAATCATTAATCGGCTGCCTCCTGCACACCCCACACTGGGGATCGAGCCCACAACCATGCCGGGAATCGAACTGGTTCATAGGTCGATGCTCAACCACTGAGCCACACCTGCCGGGCTCCTCAGAACTTTTTTTTTTTTTAATAAAGCCTGTTTGTTTACTTATTTGTTTGTATATTTATTTTAATTTTTGTTGTTGTTGTTGTTGTTGTTAATCCTCACCCGAGGATATTTTCCCATTGATTTTTAGAGAGAATGGAAGAGAGAGGGAAAGACAGAGAAACATGGATGTGAAAGAAACACATCAGTTGGTTGCCTCCTGCACACACCCTGACCAGGGTCTGGTCCGGGGAGAAGGCTGCAACTGAGGTATGTGCCCTTGACCGGAATCGAACCCGGGACCCTTCAGTCCACAGGCCGACGCTCTATCCACTGAGCCAAACCAGCTAGGATTATTTAAATATATATATATATATATATATATATATTTTTTAAATGATTTTAGAGAGGAAGGTAGAGGGAGAGAGAGATAGACACATCAGTGATGAGAAGGAATCATTGATTGGCTGCCTCCTGCACACCCCACACTGGGGATGGAGCCCGCAACCCAGGAATGTGCCCTGACTGGGAATCGAACTGTGACCTCCTGGTTTCATAGGCCGACGTTCAACTACTGAGACAGAATAGATGGCTCAGGTTTTAGTTTTCAAACATCCCAAGAAAACAGGATGTGCATCCGGATCTGACTCCGCTTTCTACCATCCTATAGCAGCGCTGTCCTCAGGATAGATTTTATCAGCCACTGCCGAGGCTGGCTTCTGGGTTTCACGAACTTGCTTTATGCTATGTAGTGCAGAGGGCTCTGTGTTATCGGTAATCACCCCAAAATGTTCAAGGTAGGTGGTGTATCCCCATTTCACACACAGGGAAACTGGCTTGCCAGCGGGGGTTCGCACCCAGGGCTGTCCAATTACAAAGCTTTAGCTGGAATACTGTTTCCCTCCTCTAGGCAGAACATTTTCGACAGTTCATAGAGACGTGCAACCAATCCCTGGGCTTCCAGGCAGGGGAGGTAGGTTTCTGGGTCTTCCAGGAGGGAGGGCACGGGCGTGGGCACATCCTCCTGCCCCTCACAACCCGGTGCTGGCAGTACCAGGTAAGCCAGGTCTCCTTTGGTGAACAGGCTGACCAGGACTCCTGGGGACCCGCCAGTACCAAGGTTTCCCAGCACCCAAGGGTCAAGCCCCCACAGCCCTCCGGTCTTCAGGGGCCAGACTTCAAAGACGTCTTGGCCACAAGGTCATCCGACTGGCTCCAGCAGCCCTTTGGAGTGGACGACTCCCCAGCTCACCCGCTAGACACACGGCCGGCCGGGGACTCTGAGCCCCAGTTTTGGCAGGATGTTCTGACCCAGCAACTCTGGCAGATGTTTGCCGGGACCCACGATAAGGTGGACCCATCGAGACACAGGCGTGAGTCTCCCTGAGGTTGGGAAGTGGGTGGCCTGGGCACGCGTGGAGGGCGGCGCAGGCTGAACCGTGTCTTCCTCCTGCCTCTCCCCATCCCTTCCTCCCCTCCCCTCGTCACAGCGAGAGAACAGATGCCAGGCATGGTAAGTGAATGGGCTGGCGGTGATCCTGGCCCGGCCCCAGTGCGGGTACTCAAGTTTCTGTGGGATTGGCCCACCTCCTCCACCCTCAGCCCTTCCGTGCCCTCCAAGGAGTCGGGACTCTGTCCTGAGACTGTCTTGACTCTGCCTGGGTCAGAGGCCTCGGGCAGTTGCCTCGTCCCATCCTCACCGCCTGGGCTTCCCTAAAGTTTTCTGGTTCTAAGACTAACCCTGGGCAGGTCCTTGGGTCTGACCCTGTTTCTTGCTGGCAGGAGAGCCAGAACGTAGAACCATTCTACTTTGGAGCAGAACCCTATACCGAAGATGCTTTGGGTAATTCCAGTGGAACGGGGGGGGGTGGGCGGGGGGGCGGGGGGGAGGCAGCTTGTTCCACGGGGGCCGTATCTGCTGCTAAACTGCTCTTGTCTCAGCCCAGTTCTCCGCCCACCTGTGCCCCTTCACATCCCTCCTCCAGGTTTCCCAGAAGGGAGCATAGGGCCAGGCATGGCACCAGGGGTGATGCTGTCCCGTGTGGCCCAGGTAAGACCCAGGCAAGAGCCAGGCATGAGATGCCCCTACATTGAAAGTCTGGGGCTCTGGGGCAGAGCGAGCCGACATGGCTTAGCTTGGATCTTGGTCCACCCGCAGGAGCCTGCTAGGAGAACCTATCGCTTTCTGAAGCCCATGTAAGTGTTAGACCTGCCTCTCCTATCTGTACCTCTGTCCCCGGGAGGTGGAAGAGCCCAGAGGTACAGGCATGCCCTCACCCTCCCCATCACCGCCCTTCTGTCTTCAGTAACTGGAGAAGAGGGGTCTGGGTAGGGATGGGAAACTCGAGTTACTTTCATACCAGCATCACTATCCCTACCCACATGACCAGCCCAGGTTCAAGGGATTGGAGGAGGCAACCCCCATGGAATGGGGAGGGGGAGAGGCTGTTTCAGAGCTGGAGGCAGGCATCGCCAGCCTGGCGGTCTGAAGCTAGGGGAGCCCAGATGTGGAAGAGACAGTTTGCCTGGAAGAAGGGGCATAATGGCTGGGACCTTGAAGGATGAGCAGGAGTTTTCCAGGGGGCAAATCATTGCAGGCAGAAGGGCGCGGTATTTGGTTATGGGACAGGGAGAATACTTGGAGGGATGTGGGTAGGAGATGGGACAGTGTAGTGTAGTGGGGAGAGAAGGCCTAGGAGAAAATCCCCGCATCTGAAAAAGAAAAAAAGTCCCTCTAGGGCCTTGATGGGTGCCCCCCTTTGGGCAAAGGGGCTCCCAGGCAGGCCAGTGACCCCAAGGTCTCCCCTCCTAAGATGCTGGGACCCTGAGGACTTCGAAGTCACATGGAAGAGGCCAGATGCCTTGCCCTGGCAACCCAAGAAGCTGGCCATCCCACACAGAATGAAGCTGATGCGGACGCTGAAGCACGGGGAGTCCGTGCTGGCCACGGCGGTGAGCAGCTTCACGCGGCACGTGTTCACCTGCAGCAGGAGTGGCGTCAAGGTGTGGAGCCTGGTCGGCCAGATGGTGGAGGACAGATTCCCCGTCAGCCACCTGCGTGTCCAGGTGAGTGTGGGGCTGGTTCCAGGGGGTGAGGCTGTGGGAGCAGGAAGAGCTACCGGGAGGGGAGGACGCTCACCCGTGCCTCTGCCCATCCCAGACCCCAGGGGCCTACCTACGCACCTGCCTGCTGTTCTCCAACAGCACGACGCTGCTGACGGGCGGCCACAACCTGGCCAGCGTGAGCGTTTGGGACCTGATGGCACCCTCCCTGCACATAAGAGATGAGCTGCCCGCTGCCGATCTCACTTGTCAGGCCCTGGCTGCCAACCTGGAGGACAGCCTGGCCTTCGCCAGCTTCACCGAAGGCACCATCAGGATCTGGGACTTGCGGGACCACAGTGTGGTCAGGTGTGGCCCCGGGGTGGGCGGGGTCACCCTGAGAGCCCCTTCAGGCATCGTCTGCGGAGCAGGGACTCGGCAGTCCCCAGGTTAACGCCTTTGCCTGCTTGAACTCAGATCTGAGAGGGTTGAAGACCCGGGTTCAAATCTTGACTGGGCTGGGCTGTTTCCTCAAAGCCCAGTCCTGGTACTTTTTGTCTCTCTCAGTTTCCCCATCTGTCAACTGGGGATGGTTGGGTGAGTGATGTTCCTTGGGCCCAAAGCTTAGGGTCTCAGTTCCAACCCCCTTCTGCTGCCTCTCCTGGCCAGGGACCTGCCGGGCCCACCGAATGGAGCCAAGAGCATTGTTGTCAAAGACAGTAACATCTGGACCGGGGGTCTCGATGCCTGCCTGCGGTGCTGGGACCTGAGGACCAAGGGGCCCCGGGAATACCAATTTGAGTCTCAGGTGTGCAGGCTGGGATGGGGCCTGCTTGGCCGGGTAGCAGCTGGGTCTCGGGCTAGAGGAGGAGGTGGACGCTGTGAGGTAGGGTGGGGGGGGGCAGTGGTACCCCAAGTCTTGGTGGTGCTGGGAAGAATAGGGGCCATTAGAAATGTTCTCTCCTGTTGCCCAAATAGCATTGGATACTTTCATAGTTTTGTGATAATTTTATATGGTAGAGAGGACCAGCCCATTCTACAGAGGAGCAAACCAAGGCTTGGAGATGTAGAGTTGCTTGTTGGGGGCCTTGCAACCAGGAAATGGGCAGGTGGTCGGCCCCTGGGGTTGGTTCCCGTACTGTTGCCCACCTCCTGGGCCAGGCTGGGCCCTGACCAGGTTCTTTCCTGCCACCTACCCCCAGATAATAAGCCTGTCCCCCAGCCCCCGGGAGGACTGGGTTCTGGTGGGCACAGCCAATGGCCAGCAGTGGCTGCAGTCCACCCTCGGGGACCAGAAGCACATGGTGGGCTGTAAGGACAGTACCATCCTCGGTCTCAAGTTCTCCCCTCTCGGTGAGTGGCCAGGAGTGAGTGGGGGAGTCCTCTGGCCCCCAGCCACCCACAGGGCCCCACCCCACTCTGACTGGCCCGGCCCTCTCTGACCTTCCCTGAGTCCCTTCCTCCCTCTACCCTTCATCAGCATGAGCCTCTCACACTGATGCTAGGGGACAGGTGGGAGGTGGGGGTTCCTCCATTTCCCAGATCCCCAGGAGTGTGGCCCTCAGCTGCCAGCTTTGACTTGGTGCCCCTCTGCCTCCTTCCAGGCCAGTGGTGGGTGAGCGTGGGGATGGACAACCTGGTCAGCATCTACGGCATGCCCACCGGAACCGTGCAGTTCCAGGTACCATGGAGGCCTGGGGGTGGGGCAGGCGGTGCTTAGGCCAGGAGTCCCAGTGCAAAGGGCCCATAGGGACCACATTTGAACTGACAGGCATGGGTAGGGGCAAGGGTGAGTGAGCCCCCCATGCTGTGCTCCAATCCTCCCAGGTTCCCGAGAGAACTTCTGTCATGTGCTGTGACGTTTCCTCTAACAACCGCCTGATCGCCACGGGGTCCAGGGACCATGCCTCAGTGTACCAGATCATGTACTAAGGGGCTCACTACTGCCATCTCAACTCGGGGTCCTTTCCCCCCCAATGAGGGGGGCAGCGGTGGAGGGTCATGATGGGTGGGCCGGTGATCTTTGTCACGTGTAATAAAGCAACTGGAAAAAGCAGGGCTGCCCTGGTTCTGCGTCGAGAACCCTGGCCGTCTTGTGAAGATGTGGAAGGACTTTGTCCAGCCTGGGTCTCTGAGCCTTGGAGTCCATATTCTCTGAGATCTGATCAAAGCCACTAACCCCTAGCCCTGGGTGGTTTGGCACAGTGGATAGAGCGCTGGCCTCTGGACTGAAGGGTCCTGGGTTCGATTCCAGCCAAGGGCATTAAAAAAAAAAGCCACTAACCCCCACTTGGGAGGCAGGGGGGATATGGAACATTTCCTCCTGTTCCCCTGAGCTAATCTCTCCTCATCTCACAGAGATGTTTTTCTGCCGCTTCCTGACAATTCCAGGGATGGCGTTCTCGGTCCTTTCGAAAACGCCCTGTCTGACTAGACCAGAGCTTCTCACCCTCCCAGTGGGACTCCGATAGCACCATTTGCTCACCCGTCCTTCCAGGATAAGGCGTCCCAAACGGTGCCAACAGGTGTAGCTCCCTCCACCACAGAATTATCCTTCTCCATAAAGAATCTGCAGAAACTCCACCTGGGGGTGGCTTTGTTTCCAGCAGGGACACTGTCACCCTGCCATCTCCCTCCGGAAGGTCCCAGCAGCTTCCCTGCTCGGTCCCCCACCCCTTCTACTCCATGGTCCTTGTGGCAGCCCGAGGGAGCTTCCAGAAAACCCAGATCTGATTGTCACCAGCCCTGCCCGCCTCTGGCTCCTACTTCCGTGGCTTTCTCTGCTTAAGCTCCATCTGGAGACCTAACTCCTCTTGTAGCTGAGGATGATCCCCCCCACCCCTGCCGCCCTCCTGGTTTTCACCAGGCCAAGCTCCTTCCTTACCTCTGAGTCTCTGCACATGTTCCCTTTGTCTTTGGTGACCCTTCCTCCCTTACCTCTTGGCTAGGCCACCTCCTCTGGGACTGGGACTTCCGCTGTGATGATGACAGTGGGCCAGGCATCGTGTGCCAGGCCCGTAGGCGTTATCTCTGGGCCTCAAAGGAAACACAATGCCACCCCAAACACCACATGCTCCACTGTAAACCCCAACCCTTTGTAAATGGGCAGTGTCTTGGGAAGATTCCGTTCAAAAGGCTGGACTAAAAGTGATCACGTGAAACTCTTGGGCCGGGGGTTTAAAAGCCATGGATGACCCATCTTCCTGGTATGTTGGACCCTGAAGTTACATATCGAGGTGGTGAAACCTCCACCAGCCTGGAGCCCTGAGTGTACCTAGAGGTGAGCCCCAAATGCCACATGGACTTGCCTGAGAAATATCTATTGTGTTCAACCACTGAGACCTGGGGGCTGTTTGTTACATGGCACGGCTGCCCAATACAACACAGTATTTCACACATAATGAATGATCTCATCCAGATTAGGGGAAAGAAAGACACCCACACAGCTAGAAAGTGACCTTCCTTCAATAACAGCTGCCCAATTAAAGCAACAGTGCCCAATTCCCCAGCCCAGGACGGAAGGAAATTGTGACAAATACATTTATTTCCCCAAAGTCCCTCTGCCCATCTGGCCCCACACCCAGCAGGGGAAGATGTGAGGGGGTTGGCCAGAGAGCAGATGAGATCCGGCGCCCACAGGAACAACTAGAGAGGGGGTGCTGGGGTCTCTCCTGCACACCCTCTCCCCACGAGTGCAGGAAGGGGGTTCCGTCAGTAGACCACCTCATACACCGTGGCTTTCTTGTCCCCTGAGCCCGTCACGATGTACTTGTTATTCCCAGAGATGTCGCAGCTCAGCACGGAGGAGGATTCCTTGGACTGTAGGAGGGAGGAGAGAAGGCAGAGGTGAGGCGTGGCTGACACTGGCTCAGGCTGCTCAAGCTCCCAGCGACCTGCACATGTTCACAGGGAAGAGGCAAGGTGACTGGGGCCACTGCCGGCCTCCAAGCATGAGCCTGTAGTCAAGGTGGGGCCAAGACAGGAGAGCCCAGAGTGGGAGCCAGGAACAGGGAGGCGACACAGATGCCAGAGAAAGGGCCTTTCTGGACAAGTGATGACGCAGGACCTGTTATTTGGACACCAAGGGAGGTGGGACCGGAACACTGCCCTTTCCTGGGAAGCTCAGGGAGTGCGCACCAGGCAGACGCCCAGCACAGCAGAGGGCCGAGCTTAGGGCACGATGACCTCCCGCAGGGCGCAGCACACTCTCTGTTCAGGGCACAACAGTAAATTTTCAGGCTTGGCCTAAAGTCCAAATAAGTCATTAGCCATTAAATCCAGAGACTAAATAAATCAACCTCACTTGTTTTTTTTATAACCCTTTAAAAATGTAAAAACCTCCTCCCACCCACCAGGATGACTATAACACAAAAGACACAGCAGCCTTAACCAGAGCGGCTCAGTGGTTGGACACTGTCCAGGGCGCCGAAAGGTTGCTGGGTCGATTCCTGGTCAGAGCACATACCTGGGTTTCGGGTTTGATCCTCAGTCAGGGAGCATATGGAAGGTAACCCAATCCATCTCTCTCTCTCTCTCTCTCTCTCTCTCTCTCTCTCTCTCTCTCTCAGTATGTCCTCAGGTGAGGGTTTAAAACAAAAAAAAAGACACAATAGCAAGCCTTGCTGAGAATGGGGAGAATTTTGAACGCTCTTATGCTGCTGATAGGAATGGAAAATTTGGAAAAGTCTTGCAGTTCCATCGAAGATTAAATTATCAACAAATTCCACTCCTAGGTATATGCCCAGGAGAAATGAAAACGTGTCTACACCAAAGCATGTACATGAATGTTCACAGCAGCATGATTCACAATCGCCAAAAGGTAGACATAACCAAGTGTCCATCAACAGATGAATGGATGAAGTGTCCATTCACACAATGGAATATTACTCAGCCTTAAAAAGGAAGGAAATTAGAC